ATAGTAAATATATAACTTATAAAATTGTTCTATTATTTATATTATATTATTATATTATATATATATATATAATGTTATATAATAAATATATATAATATAATAATATAATATATATAATAATATAACTATATATTTACTATATAATTCGATAAAAAATATCGAATTATATATCCTTTCCGACGAGTATACTCGACACGATGTGCCACGACAAAATGTCAAAATTTTGTGTTACGACGAGTATACTCGTGAAAGACAGCTAACCGGTTAAGAATACATCGCAGACCTTATGCATTTACGTAACCATCGAGTGTAAAATAGCATACGAATTTGAAGGATTTAAAATCCGTTATTTTCCGATTATTATTATAAATCCAATTTTTAATTCCGATATTTCCAATTAGCTCGGCACGCTCTTTCGCTCTCATTCAGAACGGAAATAAATGCGTACGTCAATGTTTTCGGTCTTTCAGTTGCGAAACATTTTCATTCCCTGATAAAAATCTGCAGTTTAATTACTGGAACACGTTCGCATAGCCGCCAATGGTGGAACGATACAATGAGAGCAATATAACAAGTAAAAATTTGCGAATCGGCTGTTCAAAATTTCGAGTTTCGTCCATTGAGTGGAACAGCGTGCGCCATCATGAATGGCCGACGCTATCTCAATGGAATTAAATCGCACGCGCTGCTGCTGCTTTCTATCATCAGGCAGCATCCTGGTGCTTGGTTATCGTCTATCGAGTGTCCTAAATAGAAACGACGACTCTCGAGGTCACTAGCTGCTTCCTTTGACGCCCACCTTTCTCACGCTGTGTTGTCCAACAGGACACGTGTCCTTTTCTTGGAAAAAAAACGAACGAACGACCAAATCGGACGATAAGCAACGTAACGTATTGTCGATTCGGAGCGGTCCGATATCAGTTTTGGAAATAGTGTTCCTGGTGACTCGTGCCCGCACGGAAATAGACCGGGGAACACTTATCTTTACCACGAATTTATCGCGAAATGTGCGCGCGATAGAATTAGTTCGAATTCTTGCATGATTCCGCAGCGGCGGGATAATTGTAGAATCATTTTTAAGATGATACGTGAATTATGCAGTATCTGGGATTATTTATATCGCGCTCCTCGGGTGTCTCTAATTTATGCAAATAAAGTCTGGAATCATTTTCGGTGACGGTACGATCTAGAATCGTGTACCATTATTTAAAGCAATAGAAATAGCAGTTTCTGAGTTAAATCAAATAATCAGGGATCATTAATTATGAATAGAATATCACAGTCAAAGGAGGCCATCTAAATATCTCCGTTATTTTCGGGGATATTGAAAAACTTCGTTAACAAAATATTCAGCGGTATTATAAATCTCCGAGACCAGAACAGCTTTTGTTAATAAAGTTTTTCAATATTTCCGAAAAATAACAGAGATATTTAAATGGCCTTCGTTAGCCGAGACATTCTGCATACTGCACGGGGTTGTGCAAAATTTTATATCTCCTTCAGCGCTCCACAAATAAATTTGAGCGTGAATGATTCTGCGCGTTTTATAGTGTTTCAATACTATTACGATTCTGGAGACAAGTGAGACAATTGTAGAATCATTTTGAAGATTCTATTGGGTTGGCAACTAAGTAATTGCCGATTTCAGTTATAGATGTCTCTCACTCCCATTTTGATGATATCCGTAAATGTTATATTATAAAATTATTATTATTATTATTATTATTATTATTATTATTATGTTATTTTTTATTATCTGTGAATGTTAGCAACTGGACAAATTGAATGCAGCGGTCAAGGAAAAGCGACCACAATGCTATAGTTAGCTTGCTGACTTTTTTAACACCCGAGAAATATAGTTCAAATGTTATTTCAGTTTTCTAAAATGGCACCAAAGTGGTACCACCGGCATACAACAGATAGTTTTTGCATGGCACCAGCGTGGTGCCACCGGACGGCATAGTGTTAATAGTGAAACCAATAAAAGGATTAGCTACAGTCTCTCAACGAGGAGGTTTTGATAATATATTGGGTTGGCAACTAAGGAATTGCCGATTTCAGTTATAGATGTCTCTCACTCCCATTTTTATGATATCCGTAAATGTTATATTATAAAATTATTATTATTATTATTATGTTATTTTTTATTATCCGTGAATGTTAGCAACTGGACAAATTGAATGCAGCGGTCAAGGAAAAGCGACCAGAATTGGTCAATCGTAAAGGTGTCATTTTCCAGCAGGACAATGCCAGGCCGCACACGTCTTTGTCCACTCGGCAAAAATTGATGGATATCGGTTGGGAATTGATGTTACACCCACCATATAGCCCTGATCTCGCGCCATCGGATTACCACTTATTTCGATCCCTGGACAACTCCCTTCGTGGTAAAACTTTTAACGACGATGACGCTGTAAAATCTCACTTAACTCAGTTTTTGGCCGAAAAGGATCAGACTTTCTACGAGCGTGGAATTTTCAAGTTGTCAGAGAGACGGCGAAAGGTCATCGAACAAAATGGAAAATACATTACAGATTAAACTTCGTTCCAAGTAAAAAAAAATTTTTTATTTCACTGAACAAATCGGCAATTAATTAGTTGCCAACCCAATATATCTTTTTGTCAAATTTGTCAAATTTATCGTTAAGACAGTTTATATTAGGTTGGAAACTAGGAAACGGGCGTTTTTTGTTAGTCCGTGTTCAACCGCGACTGAGAGAGGTTCATTAGAACGTGCGCTCGATATTTTTGATTTATCAATTTTAAAGGTATTCTTCTTACTCGTTTTGTAAAATTTTTTCACGTTTGCGTTCCATTTTTATTTTATATTTCTNCCAACTGCGAGGAGGTTCATTAGAACGTGCGCTCGATATTTTTGATTTATCAATTTTAAAGGTATTCTTCTTACTCGTTTTGTAAAATTTTTTCACGTTTGCGTTCCATTTTTATTTTATATTTCTCCGAAACCAGATGGAGACAAAACGCGATTTACATCTACTTTTTTTGTATGTTTTGCAATTACTTAGTTGCCAACCCAATGGTATCTTGCGGAGCATCGGTGGTGGCTTCCGTTCTGTCCAAATCTCGCCTAAACTCTTGTAAAATAGATTCCGCTTGATCATTCCCATCATCGATGGTAATTCGACGCCACTGGCACCAAGGTGAACGAAGTGGAAGAGAATGTATCTGGTATACCCCCAACAAAGTTACAAACGTGGAACCCGAAGCGAGCTGTTCACGGAAATATCTGCACCCTATTTAAATAAATACAGAGAGGTCCGCTGCTGCTACCGCGAGGTCCACGAATGAGATCACGTTCGTTCCTAGGTACCTTCTGTGAAATGTTTGTTTATTTGATTACGACCAATTTCTTTCCCAATGTTTATACAATCTGTCGGAAC